TAGGGAAACCAGAATTTTACTGGTTTGCTTTATAATGTTAAGAACAGAGGTTGCCTCGCACGGCTGATTTCGAGAAGGTTTCACTGTACTTAATGGGAAGGCGCACCTGTGGAATCTGACACCTAAGTGAGACATTTAAACAATCTTTTGAATACTTTCAAATGCTAATTTTAATTTCTCAACTCTTCATAAAAGAGAAACAAGAAAAACTTATGAAACCAAGAAAACTTTTAAAGCACATTGTATCTTTCAGTGTGTTTTTATAGGCTTTCGTTTGAGATGTAATAGTTTTAAACCTCTTTGTGAAACAGAATGAATGACCACAAAAAAGAAAAGAAAGTAGCATTTGTGATAACTGCCTTGTAAGTAATGGTACATCTGCAGTCTTTTTCTTCTGTGAAACTTCAGTTTTCTTCAGTTCTTAAATACAGGAAGTGTTATTTGTGTAACACATTATGGTAATACTTACGGGATATATATTAAACTTACGGTTTTGGAAAAAAAATCCAATTTTCCTTGTTTGGAGAAATGTAACTGCCAATTACAAGTGTAATTTGGTGTAAATGTTTCTGCTAAGAAGGAAGCACTTGAATAGGTAGCGTGAGAAACTTTTCAGTTTTAAGGGAAGAGCCGTAATAGTGAGTTGTGGCAAAATCTTGTGCTGGTAACAGCTGGTAGGTATTCATAACAACCTTTACATGCCTCCTCCCACCATTTCTGGGTTTGTGTTAATCTGCTACCAAATCAGGAAGGTAAACATACTTTTCTGTCTATTGCTTGTGCTGTGGTTTTTCTTCTTCTTCAGACTTCAGTTAGCCAATTTTTGTCCATAAACCAGATTTTTTTTTTAGCTAGAGCACTTCTCTGGGACAGGTGCATCTGCATCACTTTGTCCCATATCATGGATGTCTGACTGTGGTAGGGAAGTGATACAGGCAGACTGTATAGCTATACTGACCTCTTTTCCTTTGTAAGAATAGTTAAAATTCTTCAGTCAGAATTGATGGAAAATGTTACTAGTGTTCTTGCTTTAATAGTGTTATGGCCATTTTTATCGTGGATAAAGTGGATTTTCAAGTGGGTGGTTTTTTTCCTCTTGCCTTTTGTGTGGGAAAATAAAGGCTTTCAGCTTTGAAACATTAAGACTGTGGGCCTAGTGATGACTCAGGATCAAATGAAATTTCAACTGTTTTTAGGGGGAGAGCTATATTTTTTGCATGGTTCAAAGAATTAATACCTGCAAGTTCAGTATATAGTGGTTCTGGTAAAGGAGGGGTTTTGGATTCAACACAGCTGCTTTTCATCAGTCGTGGAGAGACGTAAGCAACCATACCCTGAAATTTTCACAGGCATCCTTTGTAACCAGTGAAGACTAGACTTGGTATTTCTGAAACATGAGTGGGTGAAATACACAGTAAAACCTCACAGCCATTTTTAAAGCTTCTTTATATATTATAAAATATAATTAAGTCGTTATTTTACTGCAAATATTATAGAAAAAGAATGCAATGCTCATTCATACTCTGTAGGGCTTACCGAAAGTTAAGTGGCGATATTGAAGTGTTCTTATTAAGGGAGAGAAATCCTGCAAGCATTCAGAATATGCAATATTTTATCTTTTAATGCATGTGATCTTTCTTGGCTTACTGACAGAATCAGGCCTGTGCTTTCTTGCATTTCTTTCTAAATGCAGTCCTGGGATTTTGAGGGGCAGAAGTCATGTTTCTTTTGGGTTATCACATTCCTCTTTAGAAATGTTTGAACTGACAAAAAGAAAGTGTCATACATTTTCAGCATCTCTTCTGTGCTGTGGTACACATGGCCCACTCTGGTTTGAGATGTATATTTCTCCTCTTTGTAGAGAGCTGGTGGGAGCAATACTGTTCTTTACCTCAATCCAAGATGATGAGCATGCTTTGGTAGCTGAACAAATCTCTAATCTCAACTGGACATTTGAAACTTAAATTGGGCAATATGTACTTGGAAAATATTAAGTAATTTAATGAGAATGAATGAACAAGCCAATGGTTTCTCAATCACAAAGCCATCTTTTTTTCTTCTTCTTCTTACCTGTATTACTGCCAAAGTAGTAATATTTTACAATTTTCTCTCTGTAGAGATTTGGTTAACTATGAAGAAAGGCTGAACAATTCTTCTGAGCTTTGAAAATGGGTGAATTGGTTAAAAGAAGATTAAAAAAAAAAAAAAAGTCATTGCCTTCCTGGGCTGGTAGTTAAAAATTTATGGAAATTGATCAAGTTTTCTTATAATTAGTGTCAGTTACCTGCTTATTCTGGAGTTAAGATAGCATGGCATACGCCAAACATTGGCATTGCTGGTATTGTGGAACCCGAGAGGTGCAAAGTAGAGATCCAAATAGCTCTATACAAAGTCTGCATCTGGTGCTGTTTTTTAATTTTTCTCTGTTATTTAAACCCTCTCCACAGCCTTCTTGAAATATCACTTCTGAAGTCAGTATTCTGATAGCAGTTATATCAGTGCCAAATACAGAAACAAAATAATTCCTTATTAAGGTATTTCTGTTTATAAGATTAAGGTGGTTTGATTTAGTTCTTTTGTGCACTGTACTACAGTGGGAACTCCATTTTAATGGGCCATGTGCTCTGACTGTTGCGACCAGTGTCTTATTGCAAGTTACTTGTAGATATAATTTCTCATTCTGTGATAATTGCCCATATTCTTTTTTTGCATACACTGATCTCAAGCTGTGCTGCATTGAAATGCATATGTTGATTGCAAGCACTTGAGCAGTGCACTTTACCTTCTCAATGATCCATCCTGGTTACCCTTTTTGTAAAGAGTTGGGTGTAAGAGATGTACCTAACATCGAGATCAATGTGAAATTTTAAGTTACTTGAAGCGTGACAGCACTTGAGTTTCAGAGAATGACTGTAAGACCCTAACACAAGTAAAACTATTTTTTCTGATTGTCTGAAGAACATTGACCCTGGGTCTCAGCCGGAAAAAGAGGCCCAGACTTCGAAATTTCAGCCTGGACTAACCCTTAGTTAACACTATTTTATAGTAATTTCAGCAGTTACTGTCTATTAACAACGAAGTATGACTGGATTTGCTAACAACTTTTTAATGTAACAGTTATAAATTCGGATTAATTTCAGTGATTGTTGAAGGCTTTCCAGTCTTGCTTAATGGAGGAAATGACAATTCTCAAAGTGTTTCCATGTAACAGTCTTGTTTTTAAATTGTTTTAAAGGGCATTTTAAAGGCATGAACAATTTCCGTGATTTCTGAACCCTAAATGCATAATGTGACACACTGTATTTGTAGATTTTTCTGAGGTTTAATTTGTTGCTTAATGAATTTGTGTACTGAGATTATTGTTATGGATGACATTAAGTCCTTGTAGTTTTGCCAGCTCTTACTGCTTCTAGTACATATGAATAGATATTTTCAAAGATGTCCTTAGATTCTGTGCCTCTCTGTAGTACTGAAGGCTAATGTCTGGTGTTTGGACATGCAGTGACTGCGTTTCTAACAAATTAATATTTATAAGTGACTTAGCTGATAGATATTTCAACTGGATCTCTCCTGCATTATTTGGTTATTAACTTTCTGATCTTTGACATAAAATACAGACAGAAAAGGTTTTTTATTTCGCTTTAGGAAAAATTATATAGCAACCATCCTCTCTTGTTTAAGCAATATGATTAGTAGTTATCTGAAACTTTTATACTGTCACTAATCTCACTTCTGTTCAAATCTTATTGCCATTAATTTAAATATTGTTATTCAGATATGAACATCTGCCTTTGGCAAGTACTGTTTTTTTGCTAATACAGAAACTCTTTAATACATTGGTCAAGCACTTTCTTAAAAACAGGTGGATTGTGGAAAACAAAAGTAATCAGATTTGACTGTTATGGGAGTTCAGATGTCATCTAGACTGCATAAGCTTTTCATAAGGGAGTGAGATGAGTATGTAAAGTGCTTTTGCTGGTAGGTGGAGAACTCTTCCTTGTTTACTGGCTTGATGAAAACTCAGTTTTGTTTTGATTGTCAAACTTCCGGCCAGCACCTTCTGTCTTTGAATCCTGTCTAGCCAAGGCACTAATTAGTTCCTATAGCTCATCTTAGCATTAATAGCTTCCTTAAGTCTGTTTTGTATAAATAGGAGGTACTGACACAAAAATGTGAGAATGATGAATCCTTTCACTTATATTTTCAAGGGGACTTGGAGGGGGGGAGCGGTGTTTTGAGCAGTGTTGGGGTTTTGTTTGTTTCTTTTAGGGTTCTATGAAAGCAGTTATTTGTGGATTTTGTGTTCTGGAGCTTTAGGATTCTGGCATTCAGCCAATGCTCCTGATGCTAATAAGAGCTTTTGCCAGGTCATATATATTGGTATGCAAACTGGATAGCCTTTTCCTGATGCTTACTTTAAAGTTTTGTGTTAATTTTTCTTTCACCCAACCCGGTTTCCTGTAGTAAAAGTATTGCTGTCCTCGACACATCTTACCATAGATACAACATAAGGTTATAAAGGTGAGTTAGTTTAGATGGCTTCAGACAGTGCTGTACACACAGTGGAGGTGGGTCTTAAGATGTCTGACTCCATTATGTCTTGCTAATTTACTAGGAAGTTTTTCATTCCCAGGGATATCAAGTGTATTGAAAATAACTTGGTTACAAAATGAAATGAGTTAATCATTCAACTGTTGCAGATTTGTTGCTGTTATATTTAGAAATTACAGAAGCTAATAGAAATGTAAACATTTTGATAGAACAATAGACCGTCTTGAGCATTGTCTGAGTGTTTGGAGAGTAATCTGACAAGTATAAATCTGTAAATTTACTTGCATGATTGAGTTAACTGTACATTACATAGAATCATAGAATCATCCAGCCTGGCCTTGAACACCTCCAGGGATGGGGCATCCACAACTTCCCTGGGCAACCTGTTCCAGTGCCTCACCACCCTCACAGTGAAAAATTTCTTCCTAATGTCTAGTCTAAATCAGCCCTCTTCCAGTTTACATTCGTTACCCCTTGTCCTGTCACTGCATGCCCTTGTAAAATGTCCCTCCCCATCTCTCCTGTAGGCCCCCTTCAGGTACTGGGAAGGCTGCTGTAAGATCCCCCTGGAGTCTTCTCCAGGCTGAACAGCCCCAACTCTCTCAGCCTGTCCTCACAGGGGAGGTGTTGCAGCCCTCTGACCATCTTTGTGGCCCTTCTCTGGACCCTCAATGTCATTACCACTGTTTGGCTTTTTTGTCCTTCAAAGATTCACTCAATTGCCATAGATGTTTTGCTTATCTCTGTTGAATTTTGAAGACAGTAAGCTGTTTACCCACTTTCCTAGTTAGTGTAGTGCGAGCGTTAAACAAGTAAATTAAATTAACGTTTGCTTTATTTTTGTTCTGGTAGGATGTCTCCAAGTATGTAGATCCTTTACTTAAGAATATCTGAAGCTCACTAGTTTAAGTAGGTCTTAGATTGGTTTGTTTTGTGTATCACCATAATTAATGGTTCTGTCAACTGAGTTTACAGTATAGTCAGAAGTGGTAATTGAAGTATAAATCAATTAATGCCTCCTGTAGCATGCCTGCCCACACAACCTGTAGTGAAAGCTGTAAGCCGTTCTCAATGCTGTCTCCAAGGATGCGGGAAGTGTGCTAAATCTTCACCTTCCCACTGACAGAGTTCATGAGGAACATGCAGTCATGCTTTGTGTCAGACATTGTAGGCTGGGTATCCCAAATGCAGGTTTGCTTGGGTGCACTTGGCTGGTGAGCTGTGGGGTAGCACCCTGTGTCCAAGCAGCTCCTACATGGTAGCACTGGCTGCAGCTTGGGTAAGTGCTTGTCAAGAGGTGCTTGCTGCTAATCGGGGAGCAAGGGTGTGGAAGTACTTTCTGAGATAAGTATCAGGAAATGTTTCTGCAGAATACCTGGCAGGGGTTTGTTTACGGTCTCTTGGATATTCCTGCCTTGTGTCACACAGGAAAAGCAATGTGTTATAAATGCTGCAAAATGTATTAACTGTGTCCTTAGCACTGTGCTGTACGTTGGAGTGAAGCAAATCTCAGACTCTTAATTTTTTGCAATTGCTTTAAATTGTTATCAGCAGTTTTGGAAGTGGGAAGAACCTTAGTTCCATGAATAGATTTCTGAATTTTACCTTCCTTCAAGAGAGCTGAGTTCTGTAATGGTTATACCACCAGGCATCCTGAGACTCGGCTGAACATTGTGCCAAGGAGAGAAAATCGGAGCCTGTGTGTTCCTTCTGAAGAAACGTCTGCTATGTTTGGTGTCTTGGAAAGTTAGGGCGTATAAGGAAATATATCTCTTGCTCTTCCCTTTCCAAAGCTGCCTTCTCCAGTAAGGCTGGCAGCAGCTTTATTCATCTTAATTCTTCACATTCCTTTCTGTCACTTCTGGTATTGGTTGTTTGCTTGTTTTGAATCACTTATTTGCATATGTAAAAGCCTTTACTGCTCTAGACCTATGCTGTCCTTAATACATTTTAAGTGCTGTAAGCTATTCGGTTCTTGTGATGTCTGAACAGGATGAAATGGTGTGCTGCTTCGGGCTACTTTGCTGAACCTAGTTACCTGGATAATATTTTTAAAAATGCATTACAAACATAACTGTTATTTTGGAGTTATGTCAGGAAACTGGCAGTATATTTTCTGATTATATCAGATTATTTAAAGATTTGCATATCCAAATGTAAACTCAAATAGAGTTTCTCTCTATTTGACACGTATAGTTAAGAACAGCTAGGTGTTTTTAATGAATTGTGGCACAGTGTGGCCCAGAGAATGGAGAGATAGGAACTGTTAGGTGAGGCAATAAAATCCATCATTTGTGGCCCAATATTTCCCTAACAGTGGGAGATACAATATGAATTCAAGTTGCTTTCTCTTCCAGTTCAGTAAGTTGCCACATCACTGTTTTCGTAGGAGAATGCGGATGACTTACCTTTGGCTTCAGGCTAAATAGGGAAGAGAAATGTGGGGAAAATAAATTCATACAGGTCAAACTTCTGTAAGAAAAGTTTGCATATTGTTAAATAGTGTCTCGTTTACCTCTTTTAGCTGAAAAAAGAATATATGTTATTTATATTAACAAAATCCAATTTTACCTTCACAGATAAATTTGAGCAGTTTTGGGCAATAAATCGAAAACTTATGGAGTATCCTCCAGAAGATAGTGGATTTCGGTACATCCCATTTAGAATTTATCAGGTAGGAAACAATGAAATAAAACTACTTTTACCAAACTCTTCCACTGAGGTGTCATATATCATAATCTGTTTTCAGAATTGTACATTCCTTTTTCTAACTTTATGGTAAAACTTTGTGTGCTCATCTTTGCTGGACCCTTGAGTGGTATGAATTAGCAAAGACAAAATAGACTGTATTTATTCTAATAGGCAATTGCCAGTCATTATGTTGTGAGTATGGAATGCTTAAGAATGTGCTAAGGCTGGTATAGATGATGTTTGTTTTTTGAAAAAGCTAATTATGTAGTTAAAATTAACTGCTAACTATGAAAACTGCTTTGGATGCAAAATGCCCTTTGAAAGGTCTGAGTCAAACATTTCAGGAGCAACCCTTTTCCCTCAACTACTGTGCAGGCTTTTCTTGTTGGCATTATAAGGTGAAAGTAATGCTGTAGGTCTTGCATCTAGTTCTTACCTTTGTCTTCTAACTTTGCATTTTACAATCCAAAACTAGCTTTGAATATTTTTTTCTGATTTAATACACCAGTGCTCTGTTTTTCTCAGCAGTTTATTTGGAGACATATTCCTTGGAATCCTTACAATTTTTCAATGTCCCCTTAGTTTTTATAGCATTAAGGTCGCAATGAAGTTTGAAATCAGGTATGTTTAAAAGCTTGTACAGAATTCATGTAGCCTCTCTATAAATTAAACAGTTCTGCTCTGTTTTGTCTTTTAAATGTAAATAAATGGAAATGTTTCAGTTTTGCACCTGTAACTATCAAAAAAAAGTCCCTTATTCATGGTACTGAGTAGTCTGATACTACTTTCTAACAGGTTTTAATGACTCTACAAACCTATACAATCTTGCAATGGGACTGAAGTATCTTTTCATGTTAGATATAAGACGTTCACCATCATAGTGAAACCTTAGATTGAGAACGGAAGTCAGTTATTTTGTCAGAGATCGTAGCAGATGGCAAGGTTTGTCTAAGTATCAAAAAGTACGTATCGGGAAAAGTAGTGCACTCACAGCATTTTGTTTGGTTGGTAACTAAGTTGTTTTTTTATTCTCTGATACTCTTTTTTTAGTCTTTTAATAGAAATAATGTAGATGGGGCTTGTGAAAGGGAGGTTTTTGCTGTCTGAATAAGGTAGAGACCTTTAAGCCATGAGGACAATTTTCTATGATACCACATATTTCATGCTAGTAAAGCTTTTTTTTTAAAAAAAAAAATCAACTTCAGTAATATCTATCCCTTTAGCCAGTAGTACTTATCTTCATTCTCATTATCTTTTAAATTTGAAACCTTGCTGCAGTTGAAACCCAAAATATCTAAGAATAGAAGACTAAACGCAAATATGGATGATGCTGAGACAGCCTTTGAGGAGGTTGGTGTGTATTATTTTCAGTAATTCTGCTCTTAATATTTCTAAATATTTTCAGTAATGTTCCTCTTTTTTAAGAAGTGGACCCAGGTGTTTAGCTTTTTTTGTTTGGTTTGTTGGTGTGTGCACTGATTACTGCTCATCATAAAAGTCTATGTACTTAAGGGAATTTTCAGATAGTGTTAGGAAGGATGAGATTATAATTTGATTCCAAACAAGGAGTTTATTCCTGTAGTTTTAACATAATTTTACAGTACTTAGTGACAGACTTGCATATGCTGAAGTAAGTGAATCAGAAGTATTCTTAGGATGTATTTAACCCCCACCTTGGTTGCATTTAATTTCCATTAGTGCTGGTAGAAGTCAGCTTTGCATTCTAATCGGTTGCTTGCATATCCCCACATAAATACCTGAAAGATAATTTAGCCTGCGTTTGTGTTACAGTGGACGTTTATTCTCTGTGTTTTCACACAGTGTTTTTGTAGATACTTAAGGACATACAGGTGGATGGCAAAGAAATTACTAGTCCTTGCCTTCAGTGGGGAGAGTTCTTCCTCTTAGTCTCCATACCTTCCATTACCCCAAAGTTATTAGAAGGAAATTCTGTGAAGGGAACTGCCTTTGGCAGTATGAGGTGGATGAATTTGTTTTCCTTCCTAGACGTGTACTAGATTATGATATCAACTAAGAAAAATCAGACTTAGCAACCATTAAATGTGACTGAGAAAAGTTGCTGCCGAAAAAAATGCGTGCAATAAAGTGATCTTACCTGCTTTTCAACGAAGGCCTGATATTTTGAAAACTCAAAGCCTCTTTCAATTATAAAGCTTGTCTATAAAAACACATTTCTAAAGAATACAATGAATCATACCTCGTGTGGTATCCAAATCTGATGGTGTGTGGGGGAGAAAGAGATGGCAAAAATACCAACGTCGTGCTTGGGTAAGTCAAAACTGAACTAACCACAGGTAATTTTAAAAGCCCTTGTCCAGCACCTCTTCTTTTACATGTAGCAGCTAAGATTGGACCAGAATCCTGGCGTCTACTGTAGAAGATGAAGAAAAGGATTGCATATCACTAAGGATCAACTAATTTGCAATTTTAGCTAAGAGATCTAAGAGATATTGTTCTCAGCTGTTGCAGTCTAAACTGTGTTGTCTGGAACTTGCACCAGACGAACCTTTGACATAGGTGGAAACTTCTTCTACTAGACATGGTTTAAAAATAGTGATTATGTTTTTGACACTTATACTTACGTGCATCCAAAAAAAAAATGCCCCACTTCATCATTTCAGCTGTATAAGCTGCTGTGTCTTCAGTTGGCAGTTACACAAAAACTTTTTTGCCTTTTTGTCTGATAGTACTGTTGAATAGAGTGTCTTTTTAATTTGTTCTTTAACAGCAAGAGAGAAAATAATAGTGCTGTTTTGAGTATATTATGCTTTTTTTGTATCGTTTGACTTGAGGATTTTTAGCCTTAGTTAACACTGTCTAAGCTGAAACCAGGACACCCATGTTTACAAGACCAGCTGGTTTTGCACTTTCTAATTGAACAAACTATATGGCTGATAGATGGCAGGAAGTTTTCACCAGACTTTGACTCCGGGCACTGTGATGGGGCATATTAAGTCAGGCACCAGAGATAAGTCTCTATGTGCTGACAGAGACTACCCTGATGGAGTACTGTTTGCTGTCTTATGCTGCAGATGGGAGCACCCCGAGTCTCAGTTGTTGTACACTTAGTTTGCACCCATCCCCGAGTTTTGGTATCTTGCTCTCTCCCCATGTCATGGTCACCCACTTGCTCTTGCTTGCTCTCTCCCTGTTGGTCTTCCTCCCTCTGGAGTCTGCCCTGTGAGTATGTAGGGTTTAAAGTTGTAAATAGGATTTCATACTTGAGAATAAAATTACAAAAGTGGGTGAAAGAAAATGCATTATAACTATTCATGACAAGTTCTTCTGAAGTTTTCTAGAGTCTCACTTGGCTAAAGGCAGGCTGGCTGTTGTGTGTTTGCTAGCCCAAGAGAGGATAATCTGGGATTGTTTGTTTGCGTGTTCCGATATTTCTGTACTGGGACGTGCCATGGTACTGCAATGAGCATTTCCCTTGCCTCTGTTTTCTCAGGGTTTTGATTAGGTTATTGATTTTACTGGCTAATTACATAGTAGGCCTTAGCTTTGAACAGATTTTTCCTATCGTAAGTCCCTTAAGATGTGATTAAATTGTACAGTCAAAAATTATTATGTTTATCTGCCTTAGTAATGAGAGTGAAATTCTTCATACTTAGTAATACATTGGTTAAGTCCAACACTTTGTTCTTTATGTCAAAGTTGCAGTCCTGAGATGTCTATTTAAATGTCTACCATTAATTACCTCTTCTCTAAAAATAACAAGGTGGGAGGTAGAAATTGAATATTCTAACACATTAAGCACATGGCCCATTCCCAAGCAATGGAAGACTGTTTTATTCCTATTTCCACATTAATTGTCAGAGCTCAGATAATCAATTGCAAAACCTGTTACAAATCAGGATCACAGTTTGGCCCATGTTATGACAACCACTCAAAAAACTGATCGAAACAGGTTGTTTGAAAAGATGCTGGGCACACCTGTAATAATGAATCCATCCTTTTGTACTAGTAGGTTGTTAAAATCTTTTTTTTCTTTGGGGTGAAAAGCCTCATTATATTTCAAGGCTGAATTTGTCTGACTTCAGCTCCAGTTTCTAGATTTTGTTTTGCCTTACACCACTTTAAAGTCATCCGAATTTCTAACCTCTGATTTCACTTACAGAGTGATTTCAGCAGCTTAATTTTTCTTTGATAAACTGAATCAGTTGAGCTCTTTAAGCCTCTTGTCATGAGGCTTGCTTACCAGTGCTGAGGTTGTTTTTTCAGTCTTCTCAAAGACTAGCTGATATTTTGATAATTAATCATCAGAATTAGTGTTAAAGTTAGGAATAAGTAGAGATCAAAAGTAAAGTTTATTCCTATAGGGTTTTAGATCAAAAATAGTTCAAGCGCTGGTGGGATAGAGGTAAAGGTAGTTGCTACTTGAAACTGAAAATCTGAAATCTTTTGTGAAAATTTTTGTGACAGAAGTTGAAATTGCAATGACTCATCAAGCAAAAGAACTAGAAAATGTAAGTGCTGTCGACCTGAAGAGGGCAACACAACACAGCAAGTTTCAACGTCTTGCTGGCTAGTGCAAATGCTCTTGAATAAACTTCTGTGTAATACCTTATTTACTTCTTATTTATTAAAAATTATGTTCTAATAAACGACCTGTTGAAAATAGATCAATTTATTTTTAAAAAACTTCCTTTTACAAAGAGAAAGTTTGAGTAGGAAAATAATGTGAAATGATGGTTGATTTGTGTAACAGAGCTGTGCTCAGCTGAATTTCTGTGCTGAAAAGAGAAAAACTGGTTTATCATCAGTGAAGTACACTGAATGACTTATTAGAATAACTAGTGGTTCAGCACTGAAGAAACAATAGCACACTTTCACCAATTTGAAATTACTTAAAAATCAAACCTCTATGAATGAGAAAGTTTAAAAACTTTGGTAGACAAATATTTTTCCTAGTGCCTCATTACAGGAAAAAAAACCAACACTCTTCTATTAGGTATTGTA